TGAAATTAGCTAAAAGCATGCTGAAATTTAGCTGAAATGAAAGAACACAGCTAAATTAGCAGAAGAAAGCAGAACACACTGAATTAGGTTTAAATATGCAGAAATGAGCACAAAAATTGGGAAATCAGCTAAAAAAATAATTAAATTAGCACACACACACACACACAAACATCTAAAAAAGTAGCCGAAAATGCAGAAAGAAGCTTAACCAACGAGAAGGAAGTGGAACAAACTGAAATGAGCTAAAAAAAAATAAATAAATAAAGTGGAATTAGCTGAAAAAGCTAAATTTGGCATGGCATAAAATGGCTCAATAGTAGCTGACATAGCAGAAAAATCTGAAACTAGCTGAAAAAGTTGAAAGGAGCATAACAAGCTGAAATTAGCAGAAAGAAGTTAATTAGGCTGAAAGAAGCAGAAATTACCACTAAAATAACCTTGAATTTATATGAAAACAGCTGAAATTTGCTTTAACAAGTAGTGCCGAACAGGTAGAACAAGCTTAAATTACCAGAAATAAAGCTGAAAGAACACACGCTTGACCAATTAGGCTTAAAGAAGCAGAAATGAGCACAAAAATGAGGAAATCAGCTAAAATACAATTAAAATTAGCAACAACAACACAAAAAAACCCATCTACATAGTAACCAAAAATGCAGAAAGCTTAATCTAAAAGAAAGAAGTGGAACAAGCTGAAATGAGCTAAAAAAAAAAAAAAAGTGGAATTAGCTGAAAAGCTGAAATATGCACAAAACAGCAAAATAGTAGCTGAAATAACAGAAAAAGCTGAAAGGAGCATTACAAGCTGAAATTATCAGTTAATTAGGCTGAAATAAGCAGAAAATTAAAAAAAAAATCTTTAATTTATTTGAAAACAGCTAAAATTAGCTCAAAAATAGTGCTAAGGTAGAACAAGCATAAATTACCAGAAGAAAGAACACGTTTGTCCAATTAGGCTTAAAGAAGCAGAAATGAGCACAAAACGTAGGAATTATCTGAATAAAAGCTAAAATTAGCAACAACAAAAAAATAAAACTGCTGAAACGTAGCTAAAATTTTTTGCTGAATTATGCTGAAAAAAATTAAAAGAGTGCAAAGAATGTGAAATTAGCTGAAAAAGTTAAAATTTGCATAAAACGGCTAAACAGTAGGTCAGAATCACATGTTGTTTTAGTACACTCTATCTGCGACAGGTAAGATATTAATTATTTATACACCTGTAAACATTACTGCAAAAGAGCTGAACTTGTCCTGTTTAGTTTTCACCACAAGAGGGCAGTAAAGCTGCAGTTACTATATTTATTTATATTTTCAAAAACTTGTTTTGGCTGCTCCCTTCTTCAGGGGTCACTTGAAAACCCTTGCCCAATTGCTCTACCCTTCTTGACGTAACCCGGGCTCAAACCTGTGGCCTCAGGATTATGAGACCATAGCACTGACCACTGAGCCACCGCAGCCTCACATTAAAAAAAAAACAAATCACTTTCAAATCAATAATTTAAAAGAACTGAACACATACTTGGCCTTGGGCAAAATAAATGGTTAAGAAACAAGTTTGTTAACATAAAATGTATTTATTTGAGCCAGTCTTAGTCCAGACCTGAACCAGAGGAAGGCACAGAATATCCTTCAAGTTGAACCTCTGCAGTGGGTAATAAAGTGTGAGGGGTGACACCTTTTTAAATAAAACGCTACCAACCACACAAGTTTATTTTCATTTAATATTTATTTAATATGTAGTTCTCAGAAGAGCCTGCAGGTGGTGGACTTACATTGAGGTTCTCATCAAAAACTGGGTTTATAATTTGAGTGTTATAGAGAACTGTCAACTGAAGGCCCGTGGGCCAAATATGGCCCTCGTTAACATCTTATCTGGGCCCCAGTAAGTTGAATATTTCACCACTTTTCATTTTACTTAAAAACCGAGCATACTTGTTGCAGATTTCTCCCGACAGTAGACCAACTTTGAAGCCAAGAAAAATTTGTTTAAAATCTTCAGTAATCTTTGGTTTTCAGTGGCGGACACGGCAACCAAAAAGTTAGCTTCACTAACCCGTGTTAACTAAAAAAACTGCTTTGGTGTTGCTAAACCTCCGCAACGTTTTTCTTTTGTTTTGTTAATTAGCGGAAGCTAACAGCTAAAACGTCACAGTCTGCGTCGCACGTCTTTGCCTCCTTCCAGTTGAAGCTGCGTCAGCCAATCACGTCGCGTCACGTGCACACGTAGTCAGCCAGTAGCATGGCTAACGGCCTCTTCGAGACACGCCCACAACAAACGGGAACAAGTTTGTGAATTTTGTTAAGAGGACGTAAAGTGGGCGAAAACTAATTTCTGATAACGGTTTCCAAAATTAACGACAACGCTAATCCGCTAAAGATTATTGCTGCGGTTAGCGAATTAGTGGAACTGTGCAGAAAGAGCAACAGGGAACGTCAAACGAGACCGACGAAGCTCTTGTTGAGGAACCTGCGACCAAGAGATGTCGGCTGATGGAAGCTAAAGCACTGACAGAAATTAGCACTTGGTGTGAAATAAGTTTTTTATTTTAGCCCCTTTTGTAATCAAGTTTGACACATGATGTCTAAAAAGACGCATCCCTTTTCTTTTCCCGCCTTTTCCATTCAGGGCCGTGGGGAGCTGGAGCCTACGTCTGACAAGATAAAGTAATTTACTAAATTTATAATTTCTCACAGAGTAGAAAGAATTAGTTATGAAAAATACTAAAATATCCTAAAGTAAAAAAAAAAAAAGAAGTAGTTGGAAACCCAGTGATTTTGCCCTGGTGTAACACGTTAAGAAAAACCTTTTTTTTCCTGAAACACAAAATGTAATTCCTTGAAGTAATGCATATCACCCGCCGCCTTTCATGCCAGGGTTTTAGGCTGATTTGTCTTATGATGACAGGAGTTGTAGAAGTTTGGATAAAACCTTTAAAAACGTTATTCGCAATCTCATGTCTCAGAGTATTTGTTGTGATTATCAGCTACTACCACACTAAACTTAAGCTCAGCGTCTGTAAAACTGATGGATTGTAGCTATTATTGTTGCTAACATTGATCAGATGGACTCCCAAAGGATCGCTTTTCTGTAAGTCCCTTCGATGGTTCATGATATAATGGAAACAGACACCCACACACACAAATACATTATTGCCCTTTTGCCTTCAGGCGACATTTAAGACTCTGGTTTGGGGTAAATATTCAATCATTCTTAAGAAACTTCTTGGAAGCTAGGGGGTTCCCAACCCTGGTCCTTGAGGAACACCATCCTGCATGTTTTGGCCGTTTTCCTTTGACGCACCTGATTTGAATGATTAACAGACTTCTTCAGAACTTGAGGACATAATCAGGTGTGTTGGAGCAGGAAACAACTTAAACATGCAGGATGGTGTTCCGCAAGGACCAGGGTTGGGAACCATTGGGTTATAGAACTCGACCTAAAGCAAACCTTGTCCTTATGGTCTTTTTCTGCGACACTCCTAAAGGAAGACTTAAAGAGATGATTCTGAGAGAATAAACAAAAACCCGTCCGAGTCGTAAGTACCGACACAAGTTTATTTTTATCCCGACGCGTATCAGGATGCTGATAATAAAAAACAACACGCTGGCTGCGGTCTGCGTAGCGTTGCGAGGCAGAGGGGCGGTTTGTACAAAGGTCAGATGTTTCTCATCCACACAGAGCGGAGCGAGGACGCCAGTCACCTTAACTGATAGAAGTAAAAGAAAATCAACGCATATTTGGCACAAAAATTTTATTTGTGCAAAACAACTTAAGTCTTCATTGAAGAAACAAACATTGTAACAACTTAACAAGTACGGGCCCAAAGCATCTTTTTAAATCTTGTTAAAACAGCAAACACAGAACATCAAGGACATCACTGATCCACCGGTGCAGAGTTAAACGACCCCCTCCTCCGGGTCGATGTGGGCGGTTCTGCTGCAGAACAAATCAGCCAGCATGTGCTTGGGGATTTCCGAGCCGCGGACGCGCAGGGTGTAGCAGGCGTCCTCCACTTTACCCAGGCTCTGTCGCAGCGTGTGCAGCTTTTTGGACACCTCGTACGGGCCCGTGTTCCCGATGTAGGAGAACCCGTCGTAGATCTGCCGCAGGAACAGGCTCAGCTGGAAGGGCGTGTCGATGTCGCCGTTGCCCACGCTGCTGATGCACATCCGCATCAGCTCCCCCGTCAGGTCGGCCACGCCCAGCAGGTAGTCGGACGGCGTCACCTGGAACGTCAGGACAGGAGCTCCTGAAGGTGCAGCTTCAACCGAGCCCTGAAATTAAAACGATGTGAAAGCAACAAAGATTAGTTTGAATGACGCAATGAGTCGTACCTCTCCTGCTAAAGGTAAAACAAGTCGTTGATCCAAAACGGTGAGAAAATTTGCATTTTCAAGAGTTTTAAGTGTTCGCGTCCACGCACGCAGCGATCCGTGCAGAGCGGTTTCGAGGCGCCAGTGTTTGAAAATCGCAACTCATTTCTGTGCATGGTTTGTAAAACTGTCCTAGGCCTGGCACGTGGTTTTGTTCAGGAGTCAAAATACGGCTCTAATGCTCGAGAGGGTTGGAGACGCCTGCAACCAAATTAGGACGGTTTTGAGACGACAAGGACTCAGGACTTTTATTGAGAAATAAACTGTTTTCTGAACATGTTTTAAAAAAAGACAAGACTGCGTGACTCGTGTGAGGAAACTGAACCATCGCAAACATTTTGAAGAAATTCTGGAGACTATCGTCAGATCCTGAACTCATATTGTGAGGAGTGAGAGGGCAATCTGCATATGTATCTATCTTAGCTCAGCGTTATAACTTGAACCCCACTCTGTTCTTTGAATTAACTCCTTGGATGAGAAGCCAAACGCGTTCTGTTACAAATGAAGTCCAGTTGTTTTTGTCTTGAACTTTTTGGAATTTACTGGATGACGAATGCTGTTCACCAACTACTGGCAGCCCCTTGAAACTACCGTAATTTCTGGACTATAAGCCACAACTTTTTTCACATGCTTTGAACCCCGCAGCTTATGTACCGGTAATGCTTTGACTAATTTATGTTTGTTTGTTTTTGACGGGATAACGATCTTTATGCTGCCAAAACATTTAGCCTTGTCACACCCGGGCGCTCACAGTGCTGCCCAATACACGTCTCTTTTGGGGGGTGGATCCTCGTGTTTCAGTGAGACTACCTGTATAAACAAAGGTTTTTAAAAAAGAATCAGACCAATGAAATTACCAAACATGTCACAGTGGACCTATGAAACTTTGAATTACTGTGAATCAAACACACTCACACCAACTCCAAAGTTCACGTTGAATAATCCAGGTACACATCCAACAACGTTCAGTCAGGTCATCTGGATGGTTTCTTCTATTGTTGAGACGTTTCATTCTTCATCCAAAGGACTTCTTCAGTCCACATACAAACTCAAGTCCCACAAGCACCAACTCCCATAGTGGAAAAAAAAAAAACAGTTTGCTGGTGATAAGATGGTTTCTGGGGCCTGCCCTCTCCCCCGTCAACTCCTCTAAGGTAGACATGCCAAAATGGTTCAAGCTCAACGACGAAACGTCTCAGCAAAAAAAAAAAAAAAAAGAAACTGTCCAGATGGCCTGAGTGAACTCGCTCTACTGTACGTATTTGTGTATATTATCGGTACACATTTAATTAAAAGTTTAGTGGGTGCGGCTAATATTAGGGTGCGCTCAATAGTCCGGAAATTACGGTACCTTAAATGCTGTCTTTGTTAAAGGTAGCATTTCACTGGGCTGCAAATGTTTAGAACCAAATGGAGAAACAAACCTAAGAAAATAGGCAAATACTGTGGAGAGTTTCAGAACCGGGGGTACGAGAAGCTCAAAACAAGACTGAGCAGCAGAAGAAGCTGTTTGGCAACAAAGATAAAACACAAATATGGCTCCATTTAAGGAGAAATAAACAGGTTTTCAGCTGTTAGGATTTATTGCCAAGAAGCATTGCTGCAACAGAAATAATCAACTAAACACAAATTTCCCCTTCTTTTGTTTATACAATATAAAGAAAAATATAACCAGAGATAAGCTAATTGAGGAAACTCTATCACCATTTGCAATTTGTCACCAACAGTGAGAAAACAAACGATGACACGCATCGAGCAGGAATCAAACAGTGTGTGCGACTTTCATCTTTTACGATAAAGTTGCTGTGTTGATAAGAACTAGAGAGAAGAAGTCGACGCCGGTCTCAAACTCCACGTCAAACGGGCCATGTAAGATGCCGAACACGTCCAGCTCCAGGTTCTGCTGGAACGTACCTTTGGATCCGGCCCCGCTGCTCTCGTGAACACCAGCCTGGCGTTGATCTCCTCCAGGCTGACGAGGCTGCGATGGCGGATGTAGTGCAGGAAGGAGACCGCCTCCACGTACTCCTGGATTCCTGATGAACAGGAGTTCATTTGAATAAATCACAAGACTAAAGCAATCAGGGTCGTTTCAAGTTGACAACAAATTCAAAGGTGTTAAAAATAAGGTCAAACTTGCAGATTTAACCTCACGAATAAAAACAACCCTTTAAATAAAACCTGCTTCCTGCCTCTGCTGACTTTTATCTTTTTTTTTTTTTTGTGGAGTGGCTAAGATGACCCCTCATTTGTTTTTGGCTCCTGAGTAAACAACAATCAAATAATCACAGGACGGAAGACGTCACGTCTGAAGTTTACTTCTGGAGCTGGACCGAACTTGAAAGAGCCTTCCTTTAGTTTGTAGCTAAAACCACAGAGGAGACTTTAACTCTGAATATTTTACACATATTTTATTTTTAATACCTATATTTTATTTTAAACAGCAAAATGCTGCGCTCTTAATAACAGAAATGTGTTTTTTAAGTCCTCGCAAAATGTTTAAGTACCAACTTATTAACTACTAAATATCCAAACTGAAGTACTTGTACTGTAAAAAACTAGTATCGGGACACACAAAAAAAAAGCTGGCTGCTGCCGTTGGCTTATTGTGGTTACCGTGGAAACCACACTCCAAGTTATATAGAAGCAGACAGAAACAGACTAAAAAGTAAGCCTCAAACAAACAGCCGCTGTGTGAAAACTATAAATCGGAGCCTGAAAAATTCTTGACGGATGAGCGGCAGAAGATTCAGATCGTCACACGTGTGCATTTTAATATTTTCTACGGTGTTTATGTGAGATATGGCAAGTAAAAAAAAACCTTCACTTCCTATTTTGAGGATGATATTTAGCGCTAAAACTGGATATGACTAAATCTGAGCTTTGGTGTGCACTCCGCATGATTAAGAGACATTTTTTTAGCAAAAGCAGACAAAAAAAATACCCATATTTAGATGTATCGTTTGTATATATCTAAGTATGTACATTCTTTGTGCAGTTATTTGTCTGTGCTGTGCAACGTAGCGCTACCAAATCAGTAAATTATTCATGATCGAGTCAAAACTTTTTGGTGTGTAATTTGCACTTTTTAGTCTAAAGACGCACCGTGTGATACAGGACTGAAACTTGACAAGCGGGACGTTGATGTCCCACGTCGCTGAGGGATTTGAACAGTGAACGATTGTAGTTTTTTCAAGATGAGTGTTTTTCTGGACAGGAACTGAACGGGGAATACAAGTAAACCTAAAAGTTTTTGGTGCAAGAGATTCAAGTGGGTAGAAGTTGCACTGTGGAGAAGAAGAGGTAGATT